CCTGAGCCTGAGAAGGCCAAGGCCCCTGAGCCTGAGAAGGCCAAGGCCCCTGAGCCTGAGAAGGCCAAGGCCACCCCTGAGCCTGAGCCTGAGCTTGCAAAGGCTGCTGCAAGCAGTGTGGGGGACCTTGCCTTCAACCAGGACCACTCCCAGGTGCACATGATAAGCCAGGAGATGCATGACCAAGCAGCTGCACTCAGGCTTCAAAACCAAGAGGCTGCAACAGCCACAGAGCCAGCAGCCAAGGCACCAGCCCCAGACCTGCCAGCTGAGGCTGCAAAGCCAAAGGCACCAGCCCCACACCTGCCAGAAGAGGCTGCAAAGCCAAAGGCACCATCCCCAGACCTGCCAGAAGAGGCTGCAAAGCCAAAGGCACCAGCCCCAGACCTGCCAGAAGAGGCTGCACCAGCCCCAGACCTGCCAGAAGAGGTTGCAAACCCAAAAACACCAGCCCCAGACCTGTCAGAAGAGGTTGCAAAACCAAAAACACCAGCCCCAGACCTGCCAGAAGAGGCTGTGAAGGCACCAGCCCCACACCCAGAGCAAGCACCACCACAAGCAAAACCTTGGGCTGGACAGCCTCCAATCCCACCATCATGGGACCAGATGGAGAATGTGGTGGGCGCCAGAAGCAAGGCAGCCTCATGGTCACCCCACAGTGCTGAAGATACATGGCAGCAGGACCAGGAGCCAGCATGGGGATGGAGTGGCACCTGCTGGTGACTAATGGCGATGGACCAGCCACCAAGGCAGTGAGGGGGCCCAGGAGCACAACCACCCTGCAAGCTCAGCTGCCGCACAAGCAGCGCCTGGCCCAACTGGCCACTACAGCAAGTGGGCCTGGTTGTGCCTAGCTTTTGAAAATACCTAGGGCTGGACAGCCCCAGCATCTTTGTTTTTGCCAATAGGATACTATAGGGCTATAAGATACTGTAGTGCTCACTATAGGATGCTATAGGGCTGGACAGCCCCAGTATTGTTCTTAACAGAGCTAGACACCCCCCAATCAAGCAATGCTTTTTTAGGGCTGGACAGCCCCAGCTTAAGAAAATGTTTAGGGCTGGACAGGCCCAGCCTGGAAATCTAAGGCAGCCTGGTGACTTGCCTTTCTGGGGAGATGATGATGCTGGAGATGGGCTCTGGGTAGAGCTGGAAGAGAGAGATCGCAATGGCCTGCTTGCAGTGTGTGCTTTGGCTATTTTGCAAAATGCATCCATAAATGTTCATTTGTGTGGTCAAGCAGCAAAGGCAACCAATGCCAACACTACTGCTATGTGAAGAAGACCAGCAGGCTTAGAGGCAGTGATTGCCAAGGTTGCCTTCGATTCTTGGCTGTGCAACTTGTTCTTCAGGGCTGTAATTGTTTTTCCAAGGCTGGACAGCCTCAGCTGTGCACTATTGTTCTTTCAAGGCTGGACAGCCCCAGCTTTGTAACTTTTTTGTAGGGCTGGACAGCCTCAGCTGTGCACTACTGTTCTCTCAGGGCTGAGATTTGGAACTTTTTTGTAGGGGGGCTGGATAGCCTTAGCTGTGCACTACTGTTCTCTCAGGGCTGGACAGCCCCAGATTTGTAACTTTTTGTAGGGCTGGATAGCCTTAGCTGTGCACTACTGTTCTCTCAGGGCTGGACAGCCGCAGACACAGTTCCTTTGTTCACTGAGGGCGCCAATGCTCATCCTACAGGGGGTGGGAGAAGGCCAAGTGCTTTGCCAAAGCCTTGAGGGTTCTGAATGAGTTCAGCTTGCTGGCTGTGGTGGAGGTCTGGTATGACATCTGAACACAATACTGCCTGGGCTGAAGATCTGATGGCAAGAATGCCTCACCTCAAGGTCTGATATAAGGATCTTTGAGGCAGGACTGCCTTGGCCACAGCACAGGGCCTGCAAAGGCCACACAACTCCTTGTACAATAGTACTGGGCCTGAAAAGGCCATACAACACACCTCACTGCCTGCAAGAAGGCAAAAGGTCTTGCTGCTTTGTGAGTGGAGTCAATGGTTCACTGGTTTCCTTTTAGGGCTGGACAGCACCAGTTGCTGCCCTTATCTCAGGGCTGGACAGCCCCAGCTATTTCAGATTCACTCAGGGCTGGACAGCCCCAGTTACAGCCACAGTTATTCAAATTCACTGGCCTACCTCAGGACTGGACAGTCCCAGTGGTTGGAATTCACTGGCCTCATCGCAGGGCTGGACAGCCCCAGGTGTTCAAATTCCTTGGCTTCCCTCAGGATTGGAACACAAGTGTTGTTGCAATTTTTGCCTTTGCACAGGGTGTTTGTCTTTCAGGGCTGGACAGCCCCAGGTTGTTTTTCACCAAATTGTTTGTAGAATTCTGAAAACTTCAAAAAACTCACATGAGCTCACATGAGCACCCATGATGAGCACCCATGAGCACCCATGAGCACCCATGAGCGCCCATGAGCACCCATGAGCACCCATGAGCACCCATGAGCACCCATGAGCACCCATGAGCGCACATGAGCGCACATGAGCACCCATGAGTTTCAATCATTTTTAGAAATTTTCTGCTACCAATGGTTTTTTGGAAGTGCAGCTATTGATTTTGTTTATTGTAGCCTGCAGGATTTGCAGTTCAAGCACCTAGCACAAGATGGCCCCCAGTGCTTCCAAGATGAAAAAGCCAGTGGTGAAAACCATATTCCAAAGGCCAGCTGCTAGCATTTTGAAAAGGCCAGCTGCCAAACCCCAGCCAGAGACAGAAGTGTCTGACCACAGTGGGGTGGAAGAGGAAAGTGAGGAAGAAGAGCCAGCTAGGGATTGCAATGTGGCTGGGAAGCTCGCCAAGAAGGCTGTGAAAGACCACAACCTGTTTTGTGAGCAGGTCAAGGGCATGAGTCCCAAGGAATTTGAAAAGGCCTTGGACAAGTTAGACCCTGCTGCAACACAAAGGCTGTGGAAGCAATTCCAGGCTTCAAGAAAGGTTGAAGGAGAAGAAAAGACCTACCAAGAAGCAGTGCAGGGCAATGATGGTGGGCAGGCTGGAAGCCTACTGCTGGATCACGAGTGACAAAACCTGTGGAGACAGGTATCGGGAATATGTGCAGGAGGTCACCCTGAGCAAGGAGAAAGGGGTCAAAGAGAAATGGTTGACTCTGGTGCAAGCCTTGAACCACTGGGGGAAGGAGGAGTTGTGGGCCAGGGTGCAGGCTGGCACCATCTTGGCCAGAAAGAATCCCCTAGACACAAGGTACTAGGAGTTCAGGGCTTTGCAGCAGGTTGGCCTGACAAAGACCTCTCACACACATAAATCTTCCACTGGAGTCAGTGGGAAGGTTGACAAGGCATGCCAGGAGAGCTTCTTCAACCAAGACTGGGGAGATGTGGTCGAAGATGACTGGAAGCTGGGAGCTGTGGATGATGAAGGAGACCCAACTGAAGAAGGAGTGCACAAAGGGCTGGCTGAAGCCTTGGGAATCAAGGTGCCCAAGCCTAAGGAGAAGCCAAAAAAAGAAGATGTTTGGGAAACAACTTCTAAAATCACTGCAGCTGACAGCCACCAAGACATCTTGGACAAGGTGTGGAAATTCAAAGCTGAGCTGGAGAAGGACATCAGCCAGCTGGGCAGCAAAGAATATGAAGCCAAAAAAGCTGGCCTTGATGACAAAGAGCTGCTCAAGAAGAAGAAGGCAGTGATGCCCAAGCTGCAGGCCAGTGGTGTTCTTAATACCCTTTGGGCTGGACAGCCCCTGTCCATCTCTTGTTTAACTTTGTTTGGGCTGGACAGCCCCAGTGTGCATGTTTGTATGTTTGTTCTGAATGTGCCTGGGATGCCTTCCAGGATGCCCTCACCTCCCTGACCACCTTGCTGAAGAAGCCCAAGTTCAAGACTGAAAAGGTGTCTGATTCGATGGGCAAGGCCCTGCAAGCTTTGCAAGCTGCAAAGCCAATCAAGGCCAGCCTGCAAAAGGCTTTGAAGAAGCCAGACTAGGTACTGCCATCGACTGCAGGCTTGCAGGTGATGAAAAAGATGTTTCTGTTTTGGGCTGGACAGCCCCAGTGTGCATTTGTTTTTTGGGCTGAACAGCCCCTGCCATCTGTTAATGTTTAAAATGTGTTGGAGCTGGACTCCACCAGGCGCTAATTTTGCATCTCATTGCCATCAGGGCTGGACAGCCCCAGCTTTCAATCTCTTGGCGCAGCTTGTGGTGTGGGGCTGCCATTTCTTAGTTCAAGCCTCCAGGGCCTTTTTGACAAGGATGGCACCCATGGCTGGACAGCCAGAAGAGCGCATGGCCAAAAGGAGAAGAACCATGCCAGAATATGTGAAAGGTGTGGAGACTAGCAATGAAGGTGAAGCTGGCATTGAGGCTGAGCCCAATTACTTGTACAGGCTGGACAGCCCCTGCATTGCATAGCACTGCTTTATTTAAGGCATGTGGCAATTAGAAAGTCAGAATGTGGAGCTAGATTGCAAAATAGCAGGTCAGGTCTTTCAATCAGTTGCAAGTTTGGGCTGGATAGCCCCAGATTTCTGAGCGCATGCGTGTGCAAGCCTCATGTTCTTAAAGTTTGGGCTGGATAGCCCCAATGCATGCATGCATACAAGGGCATGCTCTTGGGCTGGAGAGCCCCTGTTCTCCCATACATGTGATATGTGAGTTGGTGGTTTTGGACGCTCAAAAGCTTGGGGTGGAGACCCTTTCAACATGGCTGCTCGGTCCAAAAGAAGAAGGACTGGACAGCCCATGGCAGATGACAGCCATAGCCCTTTGTGGTTGCTGCTGATACAAAAGTTTGCCATTGGCTGCTTGACTGCTGTGGAAGTCCAGGAGCTGGCTGACTGTGCCATCAAAAGCCAGAATGCACTGGACCTCCTGGCTCTACAAGGCCTTGGTGGGCATGGTTCCAGCCCACAGAACACTCACAGAGACCTCATGAAAAAGTATTTCCGCCAGGTCAAGGCACCTAGCCAGAGGCTAGTGCCCACAGAGATGAAGGGCAGAAATCATTCTGGTGAGCTCTTGCCACAACCTGCAGCTGTGCCACTCCTGCTGCCACGTGAGTGGGTGGAGACCCTCGACCAGTGGCTAGACTGCATGGCTATATAGTACACTTTTCCCTCTTCCTGCAGGAATGGATTGCTGGAATGGCTATATAGTTTTTGTTCACAAGGTTCACTTTTCCCACTGTGTCACCCACACTTTTCCCTCCTCCTGCAGGAATGGATTGCTGGAATCTCTCACTGCCAGCACAGAAGTGCTCCAGTCATTTTGGGCAAAGCAAAACAAACTTGGGCTGCTGGATAGCCCTTACTGGAGAAGCTTCAACTGGCAAGAGGAACTGCCAATTCCATGGGCTGTCCATGGAGATGGGGCCCCATACAGTGAGATAGACTCACTGAGGGTCATCTCCATGAGGTGCATGCTGAGTGATGTTAGTGTGCAGCACTCACAGCTTTTGCTGGCCAGTGTGCCTAAGTACCTAGCCTGTGAAATCAATCATTTAGCTTTTCTACTTCTAGATGAAGGCTGGATAGCCTATATAGGGTTGGATAGCATCAGTATATATAGTCCATCAGCTGGATAGCACCAGTAATCCATCAGGGCTGGATAGCCCCAGTAATGCATCAGGCTGGATAGATAGTGTCAGTCATCCAATCATCCATGCACCTGGCTTAGGCAAGCTACTGTGGACTCCACCTGGCAACCTCTTTGGGCAGAGATTGCCAACTCCCTGACCATCCTTGCAAATGGTGGAGATGGCCATGGCAGGTTTGTCAGAAGAGGGGTGGTTTGGGTGATTTGTGGCGACTTGGAGTTCTTTTGCCAAGAATTCCAATTTCCGACAGCGATGTCAAATTACCCATGCAAATACTGCTGCGCTACAAATTTCTTTGGCAAGAATGAAGTGCCTTTTACTGATTTCAGTTTTCCTGGCGTCGCTCAATTACTTTTTCTTTTGTTTGGTTGAGCTCCTGTAGTGTGGTGCCAATTTGATCCAGGAATTTGTGTGTTCCTTGATCCACAATCTTAGGAGCGCAGCTGCTTGGAGAAGCACAAAGCTGGAGGCTGTGGAGGACATAGTGGACCACCCCCTCATGGATGTTCCAGCAATCAGCTTCTGGACTATAAAGCTTGATTGGCTGCACCTTGTGGACTTGGGCTGTGCAAGCCAGCTCTTTGGGAATGTTGTGTGGGACCTGATTGAAGACCACCTTGAAGGGCCATCAAGGGCTGCAAAGCTCCTGGAGTTGAACCACATGATCTGCAAGGCCTACCAGGAGAACAACATCCCTGCCTCCAAAAGACTGGGGAGGCTCAGCCTGTCTGATGTCTGCAATGGTGGTGATGACTACCCCAGCTTGAGGCACCAGAAGGGAAGGAGAGTGAGATACTTTTCGTTGGTAGCTTGCCGCCTGGCTGCAGAGTTTGCAGTGGGTGACTTTGGCAAGCATCGCCTCAAGGCTGTGGAAGCCATGAATGACATGTACTGTTTGGCTGACAGAAAGGAGCATGTGTGGTCTGCAGACACATACAATCAGTTCAAGCAGGCCACACACAAAATGCTCTTGCACTATGGCTGGCTAGCCAAAAAGTCCATGGAGAAGAAGCTGTGCAGATACAGCATCACCCAAAAGCACCACAAGCTGGCTTGCAGGTACATAGACCAGTGCCTATACATGGCACCAAGGTCTACTTGGTGTTACGGTCCTGAGAGTTACATGAGCATGTGCATCAGGATCGCTGCAGCCTCTGTAAAGGGAACAGGTGGCACAAAGCTGCCTGGAAAGGTGCTGCAGAAATTTGCACTCTGCTTCCACTTGCTCTTGAGTGGCCAACTCAACCTCAAAGAGGATGATGCTGACTAGCTGGAAAGCTTGAAGTTGTGAAAAACACGCAACCAGGGCTGGATAGTCCTAGTGCTTTGAATTTGACCTGTGATCTTGCAGGGCTGGATAGCCCCAGTGCTTTGGTCATCTCATAGGCTGGAAAGCCCCAGTGATTTGAAGTTGATCTGTGTTGTTGCAGGGCTGGATAGCCCCAGCTGCCATAAGTCACACACAATCACACACATACATGGATGTTGGTACATGCATGTGTAAATCATGTACACTCATGCGCAAAACAACATACATGTCAAAAGACCATCAAACAAACAAAATGCGATTGAATTTTCAAACATTTTGCGATTGAATTTTGAAAAATATGCGATTGAATTTTGAAAGTGCAAAAAGACCATTTTGCGATTGAATTATTTTTTCGGGCAGAAAATAAAAAATCAATAGAAACGATTGAATTTTGACAAATTTCAATCTGCACTTGAAAACACACTCACGATTGAAAAAATTCAATCTTGGAGCCTTTGGGTCTGTAATTTCCTCCGCTGGCACGAATCCGAACGCCCAAACAGCCGGTACATGGAGCTGTAAATTCCAACAGGCAGAAATGAATATGAAACGCTTGCAAAGTTGCTACATTATGATATGTCAAAATGACATCAGCTCAAACAGAATCCCGCAGCAGTGGAGGACAGCTCAACGCTCACCCAATTTCTTACCATAGCTAGATAAGCTCGAGGCCAGTCGTGGAGCTTGAAACACAAGGGCCAGACATATGGCCACTCAAGCTCGCTCACAAAACATCAGACATCTGAACCTACTACAGTTTGACAGCCTTTAGCGGCCCGATTTCAACCTTTGCCGTCAACCACATCTTTGGCTTGATGGGGGAGACAATGGCTGGAATTCCGGTGCTCAGTCGTACCTGCCAGCGAGACCCTGGTTCCAAGCTATCAACCTTAAAAAAACATAAAAAAATATAGATCATTCACTGCACAATCGTTCATTGCGTTCAATGGCTGTAACTGTATCATAATGAATTCGCCGGCCTCCCACACCACTTGGCAAAGTGCTGTGGGCGCACAGGCCAGACGGTGTAGGGACCCCAGGCAGGCGGCTCCAAGTTGGGAGTATCGGCATGCGAGCAAATCGGTGCCTTGGTCCAATGCCTTTGGCTCGAAGAAGTTGATGCGCGCACGTGGCGCAAGATTGTACCGAAATGGTAGCACGTTCGACTCCTTGGCGCAAAAATGTGGAAGCCTTATTACTCTGAAAATCCTAAAATGTTTATGATCGACGTCAATTGATGGTTGCACTAGTTTAAGCTAACAATGAAAACCAAGATTCAGAATCAACCATTGGTGAGACATCATGGTCGGTCATTGTAAGTTCGGTGATCCCCTCGGTGTTGGCATCTTGGTAGTACCGTTGAGTTGGACCATCAATGCGTAATCTTTCTCGAACATGAAGGGGATTCCATCCTTTGTGGTCGAAGGATTCCGGCAGGCACCTGTCACATTCGGACAAGTAAGCGCAACACTACGAAGCATCATGAATGATTGTTTGTCCATACTATTCAGAACACCAAACCATACGCCACGGCCTGGCGTCTTCTCACTGAACTTGCCCAAGTTGAACCCAAATAGTTCTCCGCATGAAACGTTGACGGTCTCCGTCTCTGACGCGTTGACAAGCCAAACGGATAGCTCTTTGTCCACGCAGCACTGGATCTTGTCGGAAAGTGGGGGGATCGTCTGCGCGAGCAACCTCATAGCCCGCCACAATCACAAACACACGAATCAGGAATCAGTGGGTTGAATCTGAATGGAAAATGCTTGATTTCTGCAAACAAGGTTTTCAAAAAGAATATTAACTTGAACCAGCAGACTCTTTCTCCTGAAACTGAACAAGTTCCAGGGTTTGGCACGGGACTCCTCTCCGGGCAGTGTTGATGGGGCATTCTGGCGATTTGAAGATAGGTTGCCCCGCTGTGCGCCTCGGTGTTGGCGTTGGAGTTGGCCCTCCCTCGGTTGTACGAGTTGGTGCAGGCCTGCTCTGACTTGAATTGCTTCCTCAAGAACTGACAGGTCATGTGTCTCGTTGAACTTCTTCACTAAAGCCGTCAAACAGTCGGATCCACTCCCTGCACCCTCCAGGACTGCATCTGACAACCTCGGTACTTGACATTGGGCACACCACCAACAAACATTAAATTACAGCACTCCGCACCAACAAAACTGAGCCACTTCAGCTCTGTGGAGGTCACTGTGCAAACTTGCAAGGTTGGCTGCTCCATGTCGAACTTTGCTGTAGGTCGTTGCTTTGCGCCCGCCTCCGAGCTGCCATCCCAGTAGTCCTAAATTGGTTCACATACACAGCGCCTAAGAAAATGTGCTTAAACCCCTTGCGCAAGATGGTTTGCAGTTTCAATCACAACCAAGTATCGGCGCGTACCAACCCTGATATTTGGGAGCGCCACCTTGCTGCAGCATCTGGGTCGTCGTCTGGTGGGTAATATCCCACAAAACGCCAATCTGGTCCGGACTGTGTCTTGAGATATCTGGTTTGCAAATTCCAAACTGCCCTGCTCCACTCGCCATACCTCAATTTGTAAACTCAATGTTGTAATAAAATAATGGCTTCCCAAAAACACCATCACATTCAAAACCTTAAGCCTATTAAGTCCTTAAGCTTTGACATCGGGTAAACACTTGCGCCAACAGACTTGGAAGGAAGGAGGTCAACCACATAAACGATGGTGTTGCTGTCACATTGGAGCCCTTCCAAGAGGCCCGTCAGGATCTGCGAGGTCGCGACGACCCCGCGTTGCTGCGCCTGAGATTGCCAGGCTCAGGTTGAACCAAGTTTTCTGGCAATAAACATTCAAGCAAATAATATGCAAACTTAGCAAATTCAAAGAACTCTCCCCGGAGGACTGCAAGGCTTGACACCATCCGGATCATCTGTCCATAAATCGGCAACTCTTGCCCTGCTGACAGGGCCAATCGTGCCAAAGGATGCCTTCGACTTGGAAAACCCTGTCTGTTTGTGGATGGCGCTGGTAGCAAGAGTGCCTGCAAGCAGAATGTCACGGATTGGGCAGGACCAATCACTCCCCAACTCTTGACACACATGGTATGGTGCCTAATTGGCATCTCTTTCAGACTCATAGCGCATCCTGGCCATGCTTGTCGAAGTGGACGATAGGTCTTCCACCTCGGGAGCCGGTGGAACATCAGCTACAGGTTCAGTGTTTGCTGGAGCTTCAATTGCTGGCATCTCCTCCTTCTGCGGCGGTGCCTCACTAGGAGAATATGGCATCTCTCCATCCAATGCAAGCGGCTGAGGGTCCTCCTCATCTTGAGGTGCCATTGGATCAGGCTTTGGTGCTCGTCTCAAATCCAAAAATCCTGTACCACCTGCTGCCGGCATAGCATCAATGAGTTCAGTCTCTTTTGCAACAATGAGCCACTGTTGTATCTCATCACCAACTGCCAAACTCAACTGCTCTGGAGATACCGCCAACAAAATGCCTCTGTGCGACACCCAAACTGTGCTTTTGCCCTCATGTCCAACAACCCGACCAACTCCTCTCCAACAATTGGGCCCGGGCTCTCTGTCTTGAGCATCGTAGTAGAAAACATAGGCTCCAATTGGAAATGGACCTCTGGAGGGTCGAACTTGTCTCCACTCTGCACGGCGCAAGGACTCGCTGTTGGCAACCTTGGCAAAGGCTTCACGAGCCGCCATCCTCAGCTGATGTTTCCGGTAAAAACGGGTGCCCGGAGTGTCAGCTGCTGCTAGCGCCCCAATCCTGCAGACCTCACCGTCATCTGTCAAAGAAGCTGGAAGGCGAATCTGTCTGCCCAACACCCATTGGGCCGGAGAGAAACCTGCTTTCCGACTCAGGTCATTCTTGGCCTGTGTGGTGGCCATGTGGCCCAAAGAACTTCATCTCGACCACTGATCTGTTGGCTCCAGGAAAGCTTTCGGAATATCGACTTCCAAATTCCTCCATGCCTCTCGACTTGACCAATCTGCCAGGGACTTGGTCTAGCTGAGGTGCGAAACTCACAACCATGATTGTCAAAATCTTCTGCCAAATCTGCTAAGAAATATTTTGCACGATCTGTTACAACACCATGCTCTGGATACCCACACCAACCAATCCAATGTGAATGCAATGCTTCCAAAACATCTGTGCTTGTTGGATTGCGGTGAACATCCGGCAACAATGCTACCACTTGGAATGTTGTGGCCTGATCAAGTATATTCAACCATGACCATGTCTGTCCTGCACTGTCCTTCTCCTGAAAAACATCCAACCCAATCATCACATTGAATTCATCAACAAATGGCAGCTTGGACGGTCTCGGGATTCGAGGCTCCTGCAACCTTGGACATTCAGCACATCGAAATAGGCGGCAGGCCTTGATCGCAACTTCTGAAGCCCTTGAAACTCGAAGAGCTCTCAACATGGACCTGGTGTCGGCGTGGCCCAAGTTGACATGAATTTTGCGAATGGCCATCTTCAGATCTCGAGGAAGTGCTTGCCACTGTCTGTCACGCTCTTGCTCCTTTCTCGCAAGCCGTTCATCCAGCCCTAAAGGAACCGCTCCTCCAAGTTCACTTCCATAAAGAACCAAATACAATGCTCTGTCTTTTGCCACCAAAGGTCGAATCTGTGCTGCTGCTGCCATGCGGTGCCATTCCTCCCATTGAGTGGACAATGCTTGTCCCGATCCCAAGAGAAGGTAGGATCGGCGAAGGGGAACTTCTTGTGGACCTGCATGTGGCTGTGGCTTCTTCATTCTCCGAGCCGTTCTTGAAGCTAAGATCAGGGTGACCTCAGCATGGGCGGATTCATGTGCTGCCCATTCACGACCCAGCTCATCCTCCACATGGATCCTCAACCATTCGCCAACACCTTGCTCGATCATCATGTCCAGCGTCCTCTGCAAAAGATCCTCAAAATCCCTCGACAGATTGCTCGACGCAACTCCTTGGGATAGCTCGCGGCCAACTTTGAGCGAAGACCGAATCTGTTGTGTCCAATGAGCTGTTGATGACTGCCCCACTTGCACTGACAACGTTTTCCAAGAAAATACCAACCTGTAGGCTTTTGAATCGGACAACGATTCTCCCGATCCTTCAAGCCATAGCGACATTGGTCTCCAGCACAAAACTTGGCAATACTCATGAGCCTCTTGAGAATGCCTTGCCAAACCCATGCCATGGAACCAAGAGGATTCTCCAAGTATCGACCCTGAAAGTGTTGAAAGAAACAAATGCGTGCAATCAACATCAATGTCCGACGATCCAAGGTGCTCCTCAATTGCTCCCAATTGCGGCTGGGCGACAAATTTGTGAGTAGACTCCAAATGCGACAGTCGAAGGCTATCAAAACAAGATATGGTTTGCGCTCATGCAAAACTGTCCACAACAAACCCTCACCACGTGAACTCAACAGGTCATACCCATCTAACAAATCCAGTGGTTGAGAGTTCGTCCATCCGAACTCGGCTGCTGCTAAACGCGTCACACCAAAGTTGCCACCAAATGGCTCAAAAACCACTGTGTTCTGGAAATCAACTGTGGCATGTTGCTCTGCTCTGGTGTATCGACGTTTCAATGCAGCCCATGTCCTGACATCTTGCTCTCGGATGTGCTGCGCTGAGGCTGCCAACTCTTGCACTCGCCGCTTGCTCAACTGACCACACGGGTCTCCGGTTTTGATGGTTCTGGGCTCCAAACAAGGCGCTGCCTTCGAGCTGCTAAAACATGGTTCTTCTGGAGGTAGAGGAAGATCTGCTAAAACTGAAAAACATAACTCTTCGTTGTAATAAACCAACAAATCCTCTTTCTCGGACACAGCTCGTGGCTCATGCAGCTTGGTTGGTTGCTGGGTTTCATCTGCATCAAAAGCAACAAAAATAGCCAGGTGGTTGGTCTTGGTGGTCATCAAAGGCACACGAATGCCCAAGGTGTGGACCTCAACAACCTGGTCTTTCAACCGGATCACCATGTCCAGTGCGGACATTGAAGCAATGGATAACAGCAAGGGAGTGGTGCCATCGGGAACTTCAGCTGAATAGACCTCCCCATAGAAGCCCTTGAGGTAAATGGGGATCTTCCAAACAACCAGTTTACTGTCCGAGGCACTGCCATTGGCGAAATGGAACATCTTGCGACTCGCCGTTGGCTGGCATTCAACTCCTGTCGGCAGGCTCTTCTGGTAGATGCCCGGGAATGGAGGCATGACGTACAGGCAGCGTCGAGTAAAGCCACTTTGCTCTCGTCAAAATGACGGGGTGATAGTGCATCATCAACCAGCATTGAATTCTGTGTGTCTTGTTGCGGAAGAAAACCATCAGGTACTGCATTCTCTATACAAACTGTCTCACGCATAGCCTCGTGCTCTCCAATCATGAACGAGTGGAACACGGGTGAAACTGCTTCATGTTCTCCTCTAGCGCCGCACAAGCCCGCTGCTGGACGGGCTCTGCTTCTGCTGACGGCCTTCATACTCTTCAACGACATCCTCGAACCTCCGGGTTCCTCGGCATCCAGCGTTGAATCGCGAGCATCCGAAGAACAAGCCATCATCTCGCTTGTTGCGGCGGAGAACCATGGGCTGACCACATGCTGGGCAATACACAGAAGGAGCCATCTCACCAACCTTGAACACTGACGGCATGCGAATGCCCGTGCGCGGATCCAGGAACTCCGTGTAAAGCCTCTCCTCTGCAGCGATGACAGCGGCCTCTGCAAGGCGGGTCTCCAAGTCCCTCCGAAAAAGACGTTCATCGGACAAGGAACGAAAGGTGTCGGCGCCGTCATCATGGATCTTGCGCTGCGGAGGTGGTGCCTTCACTTTCGGCTCCTTGGGTCCTTCTGGTGCTTGTAGTCCATGTAGCGCCTCACGAAGAACTCTGGGCATCGGCTTCGCTGCTGCTTTGCTCTTAGGACGAATCGGCGCCTGATCATCGGGTACAGCCCCGGCATAACCCTTTGTCGCACGCTTGGGAGATCCATCCATAAGCTTCAGGCGGACATACTTTGTGGTGCAGCCTTTGCGCAGAATCAATTGGCCCATGAACAACTTCTCAAGTCTCTCCTTCAGGTCAGCCTTCTTGCCTGAGATGTGAATTCCCCAGGCTTCACATTCTGCTTGCAAATCACGCAGCTTCATGTCCTCCAGGTTCGAGGGGCGCACCTCAGCAAACGAAGGAACCTGGAGAGTCTGGACTCCGGCACGGAGATCTGCAGCAGGGAGTTCAGTCGAACCCCAAGGCGTGGTTGGGGCAGCTGCTCCATAGCTATCTTCAATCTTCTCCCAACGAACTGATGCGGCCTCAGAGTGAGTCTCTGAACGAGCATCCACTGCCTTCTTGCGACGGAAATCGAGATCGGAAAGACCTCCATCCTGCTGCATCTCTGTCTCTTCCTCATCAACGGGAGTGCTGACCATGTTGCAGAAAGCTTCTTCATATTCCTCTTCTGAGCCCAAGGTGAAGTAGAGCGGTGCTTCACCAACCATATAGGCACGGTCCTTGCCACCACCTTTCTTCTTGCCCTTGGATGACGAGCTGCCACGTTGTGGTCCTGACTTGGAGCTCTTGGCGCACGCACTGTCTCCTGCCCAATGGCCAAGGCGGCCGCAGGCAGCACAACGAGTTCGGGCCTTCTCAGCGGCAACTGCTTGCCGTCTCTCCTCCACCATCTCACCTTTGAAGTCGCCCGTGAAGTCACCTCGAAAGTAGCCTCGAGACTTCTGAATCTCTCGAAGCTTCCGGCGGCTGTCCTTGTAGGTCTTGCGGTGATTGTCCATGACGGTGAAGGCCTCATAGATCTCTTCATCTTGCGAACCTCCATCATCCGATGGAAGAGTATCATCAACTTCAAAGGCCTCCTCATCCAACCCCAACTCAGGGTCAAGGAACTCCTGCTCATCATCTTCCAGTGCAAAGGCCTCCTCGTCTCCGTCAATCTCTTCATCGTTCATTGCATGGGCATAGTGGGCACTTCTTTCCATAGCCCTTGCCTTTCTTGGAAGGTGGCTGATGATCACCTCGAGAACGCTCACGATCATGAAGATCGAAATAGGAGATGCGAAGAGCTTTCTCAATACCCTCAATGGTGTAGTTGCTCTGATTGGCCAGCAAAATTGATCGTCGCTCCTCTCGACCAATGTTCACTTGCTCCAAGAGGAAGTAGGCCCTCAAATCTTCTGACATCGACACGCCCTCGGCCACATCGATCAACTCCGACCAAGCTTGGGACCTGCGGCGCAAGAAAAGGTCAATTGGAGTGCCTCTCTGTCGATACGTCTTCTTGAAGTAATTATCGAAGGCCTCCATCTTCTTCAATACACCGACCTTCTCAATCGATTGCAGGCAGGCAAAGACATGCTTATAGCCGTCTTTCTCCTTCAACTTGACCGGATCCTCTAGCAGCTCTTCACAAGCCCTCCAAGCTTCACCATGGAGAGCATCGATGAGACGTTTTGCAAATCTTGATTGCTTCTTGCCCAAATCTCGGGCTTCCTTGGTGGCATCATCGCCTTCTCCTTCAAGGTTGTTGTAGGCAAAGAGGACACGGCGGCGATACTCACGCATCAAATGGGGCTGCACCCCAGTGTAGTGAGGAATGCCATCTCGATCACAAACGATCTCATCGTCCTTGTAGAAAGGCTTGCCAGATTGATCCATGGCTCAAAGGGTCGAAGCCGGGGTCAGCCCCGGCTCCGCTACCAGTGCGAAGTCGCCCAGCTCTTTTCCGCGACACACAAACACGAAGTATATGTGAAACCGTTCAAACATGTGCTCTTGGCTTCTGTGGATATCTTATGCATCATCCGTTGCAACCACAGGCCGGACTAGTCTCGGGGCATCTGTCTTGTGTTCATCGACATGGCCGCTTCTTGTCGGACCGGTGCTTGTAAATGTGAGGCGGCGACAAATCAACTGCAAACCACTGCATGCTGGGACATCTTCACATATGTATATATATATATACAGGGTCGTGATTGAGCGCATTCAGCACTACAAGTTTGAACTACTTTCCAACGCTTTCAAAACTTGTTCGGAAACGGAACATATTCTCAACGATTGAAACCCAAGCTTGCTACAGAGGACCCTTCGATCACTTCACGAGCCCTCTTGGTGGAGTGAGTTCTTTTTGGGGGGGTAGGCTGTAAGTGGTGAGGCTTTCAAGTTGCTACGCCAACAAGTAGCGTCTTAGGCTTGGACGCAGAAAAGTTCAGGCTTCTGCAAGGAGCTCCCCCCGCCTGAGGGCATGAGGGAGCTTCCTTGAAGAAGCCCTCGTACCATTAATTTGGGGGAAATGGCGCAGTTGTCAGCACCTTGCATTGAAGCCGAGCAACATGTCAAGCACCACCACAGTGCCAAATCCCTGGAATAACTTTGCAACTGCTTCCAGTGTGATCGATTTGGCGACCTTCATTGGAAGGTAAGCCTGAGACCAGCTAGTGAAACAGTCTGCCATCTGTGAAGCACCAAAGTGTATAATCGGAACACTTGATAATGTCACCTAGGAAATCTTGAGAGGAAGAACAACACTCCTTTCACAAACACACACGCGGAAGGATCTTTGGATTCTTGGGACCTTAAGAACGAAGGTGACACACACACACTTGGTTGGTGCTCGCAGGAGCTAAATCAGTTGGTGAAGTTCCACTTTACACGCAATTAGACCTTGGCTGAGGGAACGGAAAGGTGAAGGAGTCCGCTTCAACATTTTTATTCTCTCACACGCTCAATTCATGAGCATGTTATGTGGCAGGCTAGTTTTGCGGGCCACACAACACTAACACACTATCATGGGGACTAAAAATGTGGCGGACGGAGCGAGCCGAGCGAACGCGCCACCCCCAACTGAGACCACAAATCGGCAGCCGCCTGATCAGAGAGAGCCACGCGACCGAGGCACCCAGATAACGCGAAAGCCGAACCCAAAGCCACCCGAGTCCGCCGCAGAAACATTGCCCCACCCCAACAAACCCCGCAAACACCTGACACCACGCCGCCAAGTCTCCAACAAAACAACGTCCGGAGCATCCACGGAATCCACCCACCTACCATCAACCAAAACAGGCGGAAGCGAGCCAGTGTCAAAAACCCACTGCCAGAACAATTCCAACCAAGAGATCTCCCAGCACTCCTCATCAATAGTAGAAACTGACCACTGGAGCGCAGCAAGCCAACCCGCCAAATTGCGCAAAAACCGCAAGTGGAACCCATCTTGACCCACCACAGGGGAGGGCCCCCAGTCCACTTCACCAACTTCGACCGAAAAGGGGCGACCTTCAGACCGAACCATCGGCAACTGTCTCGACAGAGAGAAAAATGCAGCTTCAAGGTGGCAACGTTGTAAAACACGGTATTGTTTAACAGTGTATTGTTTAACACGGGTGAAACGGTGGGTTAAAGTTAGTGCAAGTACACAGAGCTGATCAAGCTCTGCTTCCCAGATGCAAGGTAGCTTTGTTAGGCCCCTTGCCTGGTGTATGGATAAAAGTTCAAAAAATGAATTAACTTGCATGGAGTGGTGTCCTTCGGTACAGGTGTAGACACACACACAGACAGAGAGCCGGAGATCGGCATCGGCGCTGAATCATTAGGGGAAGGGGATCAATGGGGTTCATGTGAGGTGGCAAAGCAGCGATGAGCGTGCAAAGACATTGGTTGAGGCCATGTCCTGAATGGACATACAATCAGCCAGTTGAGCAAGCGCGCGCTCGATTGCCGTTGTCGGGTAGGTGTAGTTGCGGATGAGGTGGGCTCGAGAATGAAGGCCTGAAAGTCGCAGGCGTTGAGACCCGGCGGAGGCACGGTCACGTATCTTCCATGGAGCGTTCGGTGGGATGTAGGTGATGGTGCGTTGAACGAGGTCGACGTCAAAGACCAAAAGGTGCACGTCGTCGACCGGCTCAAGCTCCAACGGGGTTGCTGAAGAAATCTGGGTGGGTCAATTGTTTTTCGGTGGCACCGGAGGATTGGAGGAGCTTCAGGATCTCCAAAATCTTGAATGGCCTCGTCGAATTGCTTGACCCAGTTGCTGATGCGCTGGATGGACCATTTTGGTGGGGATGTCATCTTTCAAAGGGGGTTGGTTGGGCTGCAAGACCTGGGACACAGTCAAAGACGATGTGGTGGGGAGAGCGCTGGAACGGCAGGTGGTGGACTTGTGGGTGAGCTGACTTCCGGATGGCTTCCAGGATCACGTCCATGAGTGGTTGCATGGCGGCCTTGGCTTCATTGGCTTTGGAAGGTGGAGTGTGTCCTGCCACACGGTGCAGGGCGTGAGGTGTACCTCCAAGGTCCGCGTAAGAACACGGACTCTGCAATGAAATGGATCGTGTGGGTACCAAGCTGGCGTATTTTCCTGGGAAAGGGCGCTGGCTGTGAAGTCTGACGCGCCGTGAAACGCCAAGAGCCATAGACTTGGAAAACGTGAAGTCCAGCGATGTTTTGTTTGCGGCTCCAGGCTGTGGGCGGGAAGCGTTTGAACATCTGATGATTGGCCATGATGGCGCCAAGTGGATGGAATGGGTGGATTGGGAAAAGGTACTTCAGGAGGTGGTGGTGCGGATGTGTGACGAGGTGGCGTGACAAAGTCTGTCGCGGGGGATGTTGGTGTGGCAGCGGTAGGTGATGTGACTGCCTGTGGGGGTTGTGGGTGGGAAGCGCTGCCGTGGGAGGTGGTGGTGGTGGTGGTGGTGGAAAATCAGTGGAGGTGGTGTGAGAAGCGCGCATGGCCGATGTTGGGGGCGCTGAAGCAGCGGTATACGGATGGGCCGGCGCCGTGGTGCGAATTGCGTGGGTGATGGGTTCGTAGGTGGTAGCTGACGGGACGTATCCCGTGTTTGCTGCTGGCTGTTGCTGGGCCAGTTGGTGTTGCGCCAGCTGTTCCATTGTGGTGGAACACGAGTGCTGTGGTGGTCTGAACACACGATGAGGGATACCAACGTCTTGACTTGAGCCAAGGCAAGAGGAATATTCATCAATGATGAGGGATGGGTGGGTGACCTGGGAGTCTAGTAATCAAGGCGCGACATGTTTGGAGGGTTGGGTAACAACTGAACGATCACAAGAGGGAAGTTCCAGAAATTAGATAAGAAGAAAAGGGGAAAGCAAGCAAATGGTGCAACTGTGAATGTGAGATCATAGTCATGTTTTTCCTTTTCGCTGCCAATCTCGATGATGGTCTGAAAGTCGGAAAGTCGGAAGAGCGCCGGGGCCATCTTCTCAATGGGCATTGCGGATATCTGAGCGTCGTAGGCCATGCAGAGGGATAGGGTGGAGATTGTTTTTGTGGAGGAAAGGTGTTGTGGTGGCGGGCGATTGCCGGCTGGTGCCCAAGGGAGCGCCCCCTGGAGTGCCACACGCTGGCGCCCCTCGCTGGGGATCACACCACAGCCCACAGTGGGACTCTGTGGCGAAACACACTTAGATTGATGCTTGCAAGAGCTAAATCAGATGGTGAAGTTCCACTTTACACGCAATTAGACCTTGGCTGAGGGAACGGAAAGGTGAAGGAGTCCGCTTCAACAGTATTGTTTAACACGGGTGAAACAGTGGGTTAAAGTTAGCGCAGGTACACAGAGCTGATCAGGCTCTGCTTCACAGATGCAGGGTTAGGCGCAGTCCCTTGCATCTGCTGCGCCCCCCTGCCTGGTTCAAGAAATGAATTAACTTGCATGGAGTGGTGTCCTTCGGTACAGGTGTAGACAGACACACACTTATGAATGGGCGTACTGACTTGACAGCGGTGCCGCACGCCAGTCTAAGTTAAAAAAACCTGAGGCGCCAGGGTCAATAGTAGGTTAAAGGCCAACGCTTTTGGTTTAGAGGCCATCGCAAGGCCGTTGGGGGCCAAGACCTAAGGTTGGAGGAGGCCGTCGCTAGTAGGTGGTGGACCATAGGCACAAGCACAACAGCAAAGACAAGTAGATGGTTACAGGCCCTCGCTTCTTTGTTGGAGGCCATTGCAAGGCCGTTGGGGCCCGACTCCTAAGGTCGGAGGCCGTCGCTAGTAGGTGGTAGGTAGTAGTCACAAGCAAACCAAGGCAAAACAAAGTGACAGCAAAAAGCAAAGTTGGAGGTCGTCGCTAGTGGGGTTACAAGAAACACAAGAAGCACAAGAAACACAAGACACACAAGACAGCAAAGGTTGGGGGCCAATTCTAGTGGGTGGAGGCCAAACTTCGGGTTAAAGATCCCCATTACAAAGTTAGGAGGCCTACCTGCAAACCTATAGAGTAGACTAGAGGAAAACACAAGGAAAGGCACCGACACACAAGTGTGTCAATAGTGGAACAGGTACGTGGAAATGGCGCCCCATTTCCATATCCTTAGATACATCGCCAGCTTCGTTGACCAGGCAACGATGTATCTGGCCTGGTCCCCTGCTCCAAACCCGAGGGTTCCCTGTGATTCCAAGGGTTACACACACACACGCCTCCCCGAAGGGAAGCGTGTGTGGCCTCCATCCTGCCCGGAAAGGAAGCAAGGCACATGTGCACGCAAAAGAGACAGATGAAAATGAAAGAGATGATACAGACGAAATTGCCGATGAAGAAGAACCAAGTGAAGAGGGACAACCGATGAACCAAACCTCATTGTAACAAACCCGGGCCACCTGAACCTCGTTGTAGGTAGAATACGCGTGCGTGTATGTGTACAAAGCA